CCCCACTCTGTGTTGTTGGTTTGGCACAAATGCAACAAGAAGTGATGGGCAGTGAGCCTCACCGGCCCAGAGCCGTTGACAGAGACCGGCTGGGACCAAGCCCACCTTTCCCTTTCACACCCCCACAACAGCACGTAGCCGCCTCTGCTCCACGGGGCCGGGGTGGCTACGCCTCAGGTGTTTGCCCAGTAGAGCGGGGTGCGCGTTCCACACACACTCGGCCCTCTGGACCACGCCGCCTGACGCAGTGGCGGGAGTGGGTCTCCTGGGGTCCCCTGGTCACTTTGACAGCCTACCCGTAGCTCAGCGCTGCTCACGGTGCCTGTGTCCGAGTCCCTGCACAGAAGGGGCTCAGCCAGTACTTGGGCGCGTGCGTGCAATGGCAGCTGCTGTGGAGGCGTTGCCGCTGGAATCCCATGAGACCGGCTGCCGCAGCCTGACCCTGCCCCACGTCGCACCGCCCTGCTTGGCCTTCTAAACACCCTCTGGGGGCCACGGTGAAATCCGCTGTCTGGGGGGGTCCGAGCTGCTTCCCTTCCAAGGAGGAGGGGTGTGCGGCTTTGTTTCCTTGGAGTGAAAGTTGTGTCTGGGACCGCCCGAGGCCGGCCAGCTCCTCTGCTCCGTGCGCACACCCAGGGCTCGTCTTCCCGGCGGCGCGCAGGCACAGTGGTCTCCAGTTTTAGGCAGTACTATTTCAGAATGATCCGTCCTACAGCTCCGTGAAGCATACACAGATGCAGTCGTATACAAACGTCCAGTGATACAAACCCTAACCCAGCCACCTGTCCCCGTTCCCCTCCAGAAGTAACCATGGACACAAATTTCATGTGTATCTTTGACTTTTTTTTTCAGGGACTTTATGTGCATAAATATATGAATGCAAATTTAAGCATGTACATTTATATGATTTTTTTCACATACTTGGAATCATACCACGCATTCTGTATTGCATTCTGCATGCATTTTGTAACTTTATCGCCGAGGTTGTCTTAGAAACAAAATGGCCAGGACAGAGCAGCTCTCTCCTGGAGGGATCACAACATTCCAAGAATTGGTTATAAAAGCAATATACCATATGCTAGAGCCTTTTAGAGAATATAAACCTGTATTTGTAGCCACTGGGTAGCTTGGCCAGAGCCTTTCCTGTGACTTCTTGGGCTTCTGCGGAGATTTTGTACCAGAAGCGCTAGCCTGGACGCACCATTCATGACTTCTGTTCCAAGCAGAGCAAGGGCCGCAGCATCCCTCCAGGTCCCCCAATCTTCCAGAGTTGTCTTGACTTCACTGTCATGTTTCAAAACAGCCAGCCTTTTTTGAGTATATGCGAAGCATCCGAGTGTGTGTTGGTTTTTCCGGGGGTTTTTTTGTTTGTTTTTTTGTTTTTGTTTTTTTAAGATTTTTATTGATTTAGTTGACAGAGAATGAGAGAGAGAGGGAACACAAGCAGGGGCGGAGGGAGAGGGAGAAGCAGGTTCCCTGCTGAGCGGAGAGCCCGACGTGGGACTCGATCCTAGGACCCGGGGATCATGACCTGAGCCAAAAGCAGACGCTTCACCCACTGAGCCAGAGAGGCGCCTCACCAAGTGTGTTTTTTGAAAGGAGCTCTTTTTGTGCTGTTCTGTTCATCAGTTACAGGGAAATTCTTCATTTTGTGTTATTTTAACATTATATAAGTTCTGGTCATGGCACTGTTCACACAGAGTGTTATCCCCAGCTGTGACAGATCCGGGGCCTGCCTGAGGTGTGTTTCGGAGAGCGCAAGCAAGTGGCACTGTGTCTAAGGGCTGTGAGTGGCGACTGTTCCTTGGGCCCCGCCGGTGTGGCTGACAGAGGGACCACAGAGAGTTGCTGATGGGGAGTGGTGGCCACCTTGAGGGGGGCTCACACCTTCTGCTCTTGAGGGACCCTGAGGACGAGGAGGAGGAGGAGAGAAGGGCGTGCATTTGACGTCCGACAGGCTTCTGCACAGTGGGCTTTCCGGGGATGGACAGCAGCTGGTGCCACACCACCTACCAGGCTGGAGGTCGGGCATGCTTCCTGTGAAGGGCCGGGGTGCTCTTTGCAGTGCGAGGCATGGGCAGGAAAACAGTGGGACCTCCAGAATCGCGGTGTGGTCTCACCGTGTGCAGCTGCCTGTGACCTTGGGAGCTTCGTGAGGACCCTCAGCCAGGGCCCTCGTCTGTCCAAGCTCTCACGGGCCCTTCTGTATGTGCTCGGCGGGGAGCGGCCGTTCAGTGAGAGGCCTCACTGTTTCCCTCAAACTCTTCCTAGGGCCACCACCGTGCGCTACAAAGGGAGAAACCTGCGGATCAAAGCGCCTATGTGCCGTGCGCTGAAGAAGCTCTGTGACCCGGACGGTATGTGATCTCGGAGGTGGGGCTGCTCCCTGTGGTGATGGAGAGGCCGAGCTGGAAGTGTCTCCCAGTGGCTCCGAGTCTCCTTCATCTGCTCCTGCCCATTGGCAGCACCTGGACTCGAAACCCCTTGTCACAGCAGTGTGTCCCCTTAGGAGATCAAGTTTAGCTCAGAAGCCACAGCCTTTTCAGACAAAGTGCCCGCTAGTGTCACAGGCAGGTCTCTGGTGGCCTCTTGTGGCCTGGTCCGTGGCTCTGGCTCGCAAATGCACATGCGGCCATGTTGGCGTTCTTTCAGAGCACGGGCCCCCGCGGCCTTCTCTGCCAGCCTTGCTTTCACACACAGCTTGCCCAGAGCTCCTCGTTGATTCTGTTAGTTGTGTGTCCAAGCCCGTGGCATTCTGCATCGAGGTTCACGTGTGCCAGGCTCTCACGGCCCCTTCTTGTCACAGGCTTGAGTGACGAAGAGGACCAGAAGCCAGTGCGCCTGCCCCTGAAGGTCCCGGTCGAGCTGCAGCCAAGGAACAACCATGCCTGGGCCCGCGTGCAGAGCCTGGCCCAGAACCCGAGGCTCAGGTAACGTGGCCTTTGGCATCTCGGGGGAGAGGTGGGGTTCCCCCAGGGCACTGACAGAACATGGGGGAGTGGCCTCAGACCTGGGGGTCCTGGAAACATCGAGGTACGGTTCCACACCTGGCAGGGGCTCTCGGGCCAAGCACGGAAGACAAAGACATGTGGTTAGCAGGTTGATGGTGACAGAATCTTTCCCCTCAAAACCCCTTCCACGGCTTAGTATCTCTCTGAAGATTTGTGTCTGACATAGACACAGGGCATCACTGTGAGTATGGACCGTTTTTCATTTAGACATTAGACCTCTTTTTTGATTGAGGTAGAATTCTCCTAACCTACAATTAACTGTTAACTCGTTTTAGGGTGTCCGACTCAGGGCACTGAGTACCTTCACACGGTGTTGTGGGATTGTCCCCCTTCTCTGGCTCCAGGACATTTCGTTACCCCAAAACCTGGTACCCACCACGCCTTCACCCTCCCCCCACCCCCACCCCCCAGCCTCCGCTGCCAGTTAGATGTACCCGTTGTTCACGGTTCTCGTAAGGGGAACGGTACAGCTTTCGGTCTGCTGCCTGGCTGCTCGCACTGAGCCTGACACTCCATCTGTGTCAGGACTTCTTGCTGCCACATGGATTTAAACTCTCTTGCTATTCATTCAGGCTGGCCAGGCCCAGCTTCCTGGATCCAAAGGGCGCTAACAGAGTAGTGTGGTAGGTTGTAGCACGGTCCACATCCCGGGAGAGATCTCGTACAACCTGTAAAGGGGACGTGAGATATACATGAATCTAGTGCTCTCCATTTAAAGGGCTAGTTTTTAAGAAAAGGACTCAGTGGCCCTGCAGGACACCGTGCCTCCGGCCCCTCCTTTGACACCCCTTCCGCAGTCCGTGGCCTCATCTTGTCTTGCGGCCACAGCCTCGTACTCCTCAGGAGGGTCTCTCCCCTGTTAACAGCCGCCCTGTCCTGCCTGTGGTCTCTCTGCAGGATGATTGTGGAGCTCCACCGGAAGGTCTCCAGCCTCATTGAGTTCCTGAAACAGAAGTGGGCGCTCCACGAAGTGAGGGTCGTATCCTTTTCCTACTGACGCAGCCTCGCCCACACTCTGCAGCTCCTGCTGCCTGAGGACGCGGCCTCGCGTCTCCGTCCTCCGAGTGCACGGGGCCCCGTGGGCGGTGCAGAATGGGCACTGAACCGCTACAGCACAAGCGGCCACTGTCTGGCCTCTGTGGCAGGGCTGGGGGGCGAGCAGAGCATCCCTGCCAGCAGGTTGAGTAAAACAAGCAAGGACACAGCCCCAGGCTGCTTGTGTCCTTGGCCGCCTGCCAGCCTACGTCCCCGCCAGGAGGGTGCCTGTTGGGTGTGCCATCGGTGAAGGAGGAAGTGGCCGGCTCGCGTCCTTCCCGTGGCCTGGCGGCGCTCAGCAGGGCCTGCTCCTGCAGCTGCTCCTTGACTGCGCTCTCAGCGGAAGACGCTCGAGGACCGGCAGCTGCAGCACTCGCGATCAGAGCCGTCGCAGGAGAAGGTGGCGCTGCACCTGTTCCCAGGAGAGAGTTGCACGCTCACGCCCCTGCCGGGGGTGGCCCGCGTCGTGCACTCCAAAGCCTTCTGCACCGTGCACTGGCAGGAGGGCGGCAGGTGCAGGCAGAGCTCCAGGGATGCCCACACGTTGCCTCCGGCCCAGATCCTGGGCATCCAGAGCGGGCAGGGCACGGCTAGGGGCCAGGTGAAGTGTCCACGGGGTGGTGCCGAGGGCAGGGGCCCGGGACGTCCCCCTCCTTCCACCGACGCCTCACAGAGCTCTGGAGAGAGTTCCCCTGAAAGTGCCCCTGGGGAGGGGGCCACCCTGAGCCTCAGCAGCCTAGACACTCCTGACAGGCTGCCCCCGGGGCTCCAAGATGCCGGGGGACGGCTTGAGAAGACCCCCAGGGCTGCTCCTGCAGAGGGCAGGGACGGCCCAGCCCTAGAGCCTGGGGATGTGACGTGCGCCTGCAGCCAGCTGCCAGAGCTGGAAGATGAGCTCTCCCTCCTTGACCCCTTCCCGCGCTACATGAAGTCCTGTCAGGACCTCATCATCCCCGAGCAGTGCCGCTGTGCAGACTTGCGGCCCTCAGGGTGCACCTCCCCAGAGACCCGCGTCCCCAGCAGTGCAGAGGTGGCTGACCTCACCCGGGCTGGGTCGCTATCCCCTGTCCGTGCCCTACTGGGTCCAGAGCCTCAGCCCAGCCCTGGGCTTCAGCCAGATGTTTGCACTAAAGACTCAGCAGACGCCCCTGCAGAGGAGCCACAGGAGAAGGTGAATCCCTCGGATCCCCTGCCTCAGGGACAGCCTGCTGCCAAGCCTCCGAAGGATGTCCCTGCCAGCCGGCTAGCCCAGCAGCTCCGTGAGGAGGGCTGGAACCTGCAGACCTCTGAAAGCCTTACGCTGGCCGAAGTCTACCTCATGATGGGCAAACCGAACAAGCTGCAGCTGGAGTATGACTGGCTTGCTGTGCTGGGCCCTGAGGGCCAGGCCCCCGGTGGGCAGGCCCAGGGCCCCCGCACCGGCTCCCCGCCCTCCACCTTCCACAAGCAGCGCCTCCTCAGCTGCCTCCTGAAGCTCATCTCCACTGAGGTCAACCCCAGGCTGGTGAGTGTGGGTCGAGGCACAGCCCTGCTGGCATTCTGAGGTGGGCAGCTGGGTCCTGGGGGGAGAGAGGCGGGGACCCGCGTGACTGGGCAGGACACGTGTCCTTCCCTCGAGCCGGGCTTTGTGGAGAGGGCCCAGCTCGCTGCAGACACAGGCCCTGTCCTCCATGGCTCACACAAGGCTCCAAACACCACAGTGACCAAGAAGTCATCCCTTATCAGGCTTCATGATGACGCTGAGCCATCCCTGCTGGCCAGGGGGAGCATGCAGAGGCGACGTGGTCACCATGGCCAGGAGCCAGGCAGGAACCTCGCAGATTGCAGAGGAGGAAATGGAAGGGTCGTTAGTGCTTGAGAGTGGCCGTCCTGGGAGCATGGTGGCACAGCTTCCGAGGAGGGAGTGGAGTGGGAAGGGGACGGACGGGGTGCCAGGACAGCGCTCGGGCTGGGTGAAGGGCTCTGGGGCTCCTCAGGGGGCTCCGTGGTGGGTGGTCCCTAAGCCTGGGGAGTGGCTGTTACCCCGTCCTGGAGCATCTGGTCCACAGACACGGGGCGGAGGATGCCACCGGCGAGAGAAAACCCAGTGGACTTTCTGGGGTGCTAGAGAACTGAGTCTAAAGCAGGGGCTCCTGAGGTGCAGTGTGTGCTGCGTGCTTGGGAACGCGGGGATTCACCAGTTCCAGGAGCAGCAGCCCAGGGATCGGAATGTGGGGGCCAAGAGGGAGTGGAGCCTGGGGACAGAAGGGGCTGTGGGGACCCTGTGGACCCATGAGTGCTGAGTCACGTCTGCACAGCACAGCTTCTGCTTCTCCTGGACAGACAGCCCTCCATGTGCGCCCTGCACGGCTCCGCCACCCTCTCCCTGGCCGCATCCCTGTGCAGCTTTTGCCGAGGAGAGGGTGCCCGGTAGAGCGCACGTGCGGGGACGAGCGTGAGTACTGCGGGAGAGGTGGCTCCCACGGGGTGGTGGGACCTGGGTGGAGACTGCAGGGGCCGAGGGGGAGGCCCGAGCGGGAGCAGTGGCCTTTAGAGGTAGTACTCTGGAGGCTGGTGCCCTGCGGGCAGGCATGGGCAGCGCTGGGGCGAATGGACAGATGATGAGTTTAGAGTGAGGCTCCTGGAGGCGAGAAGACTGGAGGGACAGGAGCATGTCTAGCGTTCCGGGGAGGGGGCCAAGGGAGGTCAGCTCCCGAGGAGCCCGTGACAGCAGGGTACGTAGGCCCTGGCCTTGGCCTTGACTGGGAGAGGACTGTGGGGTGGCTTGGGAGTACTGCAGAAGACTCAGAGCAGGGCGCTCAGAGCCACGGCCTGGAGTGGGGCTCTGCATCGCCGGGGGACTCGTGAGAGATTCACGTTCTCTGCCCCCCGCCGCAGCTGACTGTGATGTAGCTCACCTGTGAGAACCATTGGGTAGAGGCCGGAGTTGAGCTTGGAGCCTCTGCGTGAAAGGCTGGCTGGTCCTGTGGGCCCCCCACAGTGGCGGAGCGCTGCTGAGCCACTGCTGCCCACACCCAGTCCTCTGGCCAAGCAGGACCTTGGCAAGAGGTGGCTGGGCATGCAGGGGCATGGTTGGATGGTGAGACTGAATAATAAGCTAAGCAGGAGGGAACAGAACAGGTGAGGGGTGGGCAGGGGTCCCACGGAAAGGAAAAGGAGGGTCAGGATTGGCAGGGTTGTGCCAAAAGCAGAGGAAGGGGGTTCCATTATTTCACAGGAAGGTTGGCCCCGGTGGCCCCGGAGAGTGGGTGCTGGGGAGATTGAGGAGGGGGTCACCAGGGTGAGGATGGAGGTGAGGTGGAAGGAGTGTCTCTGTGGCGGGGACCCTGGCACTGAGCACAGCCTGAGCCTGGGCCGCAGAACCCCTGAGATTGGCATCCTGACTCAGCAGAGGGCTCCTCGGCTGTGACTGTTTTAATTCTAGAAATTAAATCTGTATTTCCTTCCTCTGACTCACAATCGGGAGAGGCCACTGCGGTTCTCTTAGGCAGGCTTTTTACAAAGACGAGTTCGTGTCCCCACCATGCAGCAACCCCTCTGGCCTTCCCGTGTCCCGCCTGCTTTCACCACGTGATGGGATTGCCTGTCGTGCCACCTGCAGGCCGCGAAGCCAGGAGGGAGAACGGTTGTTCCCCAGAGGCCCCACCTGCCTGGTGGCGGTTAAAAGTGGCGTGCTGCCTGCCAAGTGACATCAGGAATGCTGACCTTTGCCTCGGGGGATATGTGATCTCTGAGCCCGTTGGAGCTCCTCATGCCTCCAGCTCTGGGCCCCGCTCCCTGAACCATCGTTCGCAGGCTGAGTCTGGCTTTTGCTGTGGCCCGTTTCTGTCCCAGGCTCCAGAAGGGAACACCAGCTCCACGGCTTCAGTGAGGCCCACCCAGGAGGAGCAGTTGGCTACGCCCCCAGGAAAGGTGGTGACTGTCAGCTCCCGGAGCCCCCGCTGCCCGCGCAGCCAGACTGCCCTCCGCAACAGCAAGACCTTCTCTCCCAGCTCCACGCCTTGCTCCTCAGGTGAGGCTCGGCCATCCTGCCTGTCTTTCAGCGCATGGGGGCTGTGCCGGAGCTGAGGGCACAGGATGCCCGACACATGGCCCCACTCAGTGGGTTGCTGTCGCGCCGATGGTGTGTCGGAATGGAAATGCCCACCTCTCGCGGGGAGGGTGAGCGCCGGGCCTGTCACATAAGGCTTTGGGTCCTGGGGTACTGGAGCCATTCGGAAACACGGGGTGGCCCTTGCTAGTTTGGTCACCTTGGGGGATCTTTGTGAGGTCAGTGGAAGCCTTCGTAACATGCTGAATCGGGGGCTGAAAGCCTGAGAAGGGACTGTCTCCTTTTATGTTTGAAGAGTCAGGCCCGCAGGTAAGGGATTCCCCAGCCGTTTCCCTCAGTCTTGGAAGGGAAGGTGGGCTGACCTGCCAGTCTGAACTGTTGGTCCTTTGTCCAAGTTGTAGCCGGGGAATAACTTCCTTGCAAGGTCATTCCTTGGGTTTTCTGGTACCTGAGACGGCAGGGGTTGAGGACTGGCATGTCCTTTGTGTGCTGAGCCTGGGAGACCTCCACGCCAGGCGTGAAGGGCTGCGTTACCATCCCTGTGGGTGCGTGCTCTCATTGCAGGACCCTGGCCATCCTGGTCGTCTTGAACGTCCTGCGCCAGCAGGCGTCTCTGCGTCAGGGCCACGTGCCTCATACAAGAAGCAGTCCCGCATCTGTCCTTAATCTGACCCACGCAGGTGCGGTCACGTTTTCACTGAACAGATCTAGTGTCCTGTGTGTTAACAGTTCTAGAGTTGTTTTTTTTTTTTTTAAGATCTATTTATTTGAGAGAGAGAGAGTATGAGCAGGAGGGGCATAGGGAGAGGGAGAGGGAGAGAAAATCTCAAGCAAGTTCCAGCACGGGGCCCAACGTGGGCCTTAGTCCCACGACCCCAAGATCATGACCTGAGCCAAAATCGAGAGTCAGACACTCAACCGACTGTGCCACCCAGGTGCCCCGGGTTATTTTCTGTTCCGAGCGTGTCACCAGCTTTATGTGTTCTCTGTGTGGTGAATAGCCTTCCTGTGGAATGAGTGCTGTGCAGGGGGCCTCCGGGTAACTGAGCCTGGATCAGGTGTCTGCGCAGATCAGGGCTCAGGTAGCGATGGCACTCCTTCCTGCCCTCCACTCTGACTTCACATTTTTGTAATTTTATGCGGTCTTTACCATCCTTTCTCTTTCTGAATGGAGGATGTTTCTAGACCAAGATACTTGCAGTGCCAGAGTCCGAACTGGTGCTCAGAGGGCCTGAGTTTAATTTTACAGCTTTGCAAATAAAAACTAAGGAAAAGGGGGCCTGTCCCTACATGGATTGAGGGTGTACGCAGCGGCACCCACAGTAATGAAGGCAGAGTCTCAGAACAGTGGCTCCAAGATAAAACATTTTCTGTCCCTTTATGTCTGGGCTGTCCTTGGTACAATAGAGATTTAGAACGGGGACTGGCTGACTGCAGCCCACAGCCTGCTCATCAGGACGGCCACGCTCCAGCTGCAGAGCCCAGGGCAGCAGGGCCTGGAAGGCCCACCAGCCAGGCAGCTACTCTCTGGCCCTTTAAAGAGAAAGTTTGCTGACCTCTGGTCTATGCTAGGTGGTCTGGAAGGTTCTTCCAGCTGTCACGTGTCCTCGCAGGCCTATCTGCCCTTCCCACTGGGGATCAAAGTGGCAGAGTGCTGCTGTGCTCTCAGAGCCATGATTCACTTACGGTGGGAACTGCAGCTTCAGGGAGAAGGATAGGAAGGCAGGGTTTGGGGACTGAAATCTAGGAAATGCTTTTTAAGCAAACGGAATCAGCTGTCCCTGTTTCTTCCGGTTTTCTTCCGGAGAGAGCAGCTGTGTTCGTGCTGGTGATGCTGCCCGGTGAGTGGTGTGTTCGCGGTCCCTTGGCTTCTAGGTCTGAGAAACCCGCCAAGACCCCTGCTGGTGGCGGGCCCCTCCAGCACAGGTAGCAGTGACTCAGACGGCGGCCTTTTTGCTGTCCCGACCACTCTGCCGCCCAACAGCCGCCACGGGAAGCTCTATTCTCCCAGTAAAGAAACCGAACTGACTTTCCGTCAGCACCTAAACTCCATCAGCGTAAGTTGGGGGGGGCGTGCCATGCTGCCGGTGGGGGGCCCTGCGTCTAGGGGCACGCTCTCACGCCCGCACTGTCCTTGCAGATGCAGTCGGATTTCTTCTTGCCGAAGCCCAGGAAGTTGCGGAACCGGCACCTGCGGAAGCCCCTGGTGGTCCAGGTCAGGGCACCAGCGTGCGTCTGTGCCGCAGGGAGTCCTCGGCCCCTCCTTCCTTCTTATGCGGAGGACACACAGAGTAGTGATGGGGCCCTGACTGTTTCCTGAAATAACGAGAATCTTGGCACAGCATGTAAACCACTTGTAAAAAAGACAGGCAGTCCCGGGGATTCAAGTCCCACGTGTCCCGCTTTAGGATATATTTGAGGACTCTCGGAGCTGCTATTTATAAATACGCAGCTCGCAGAGGCAATTGACAAGGTAGATGGAGTGGCCAGAGGCCAGACTCTCCTGAGCTCACAGCACTGAAGGCCAGAGGCCCCGTGGAAGCTGTCTGCAGACCCAAGGGCACAGCCTGAGAGTGAGAGGCCTGCGAGTGCGGGTGAGGCGGGAATTCTGTAATGAGTCCAAGCTTAGAAATGTATGGATGTGGGTTGTTTGGCGATAAATGTACAGGTCTCTGTTCGTCTTGCTAGTCTCTCAGAAATCTCTTCCTCTCTTGAGTTTAATTGATGTAGAAAGGAGAGATTGCATGGCAGGTCTCAGGCAGGGCAGTGCACAGCAGTCCTCCCCTTAATCTCGGTTCTGCTTCCCGTGGTCTGTAGCCGAGGTCAGCAGGAAGCAGGTGATTCTCCGGACACGTCATCAGAGGGTCAGCGGTACGTCATGTGCCTGCATCATTCGCTCACGGGGGCAGAGACGAGGGAGACCTTGCTGACGGAACTTTTGTTTCAGCATGTAGATTTTATTATCGATTGTGGTTGTTAGATTGTTACCTGCCTAACTTACAAATTAAACTTTGTCACAGTTACGTCCCTGTAGGAAAACAATAGTATGTGTAGGGCTGATGTCATCTGCAGTTTGAGGCGTCCATGGGGGTCTTGGGACACGTGCCCTGCAGATTCGGGGACTGCTGTATTCTAGGTCCCAAGTTTTGTGTGCGCGTGCGCGGGCCGAGTCCTCACCGGCACAGTTGGTGAAGTATGGAATCCGCCCTGGCTGGACAGTGGTTCTGTGGCTCTTCGGCTCTCGGTCTGGGGTTGCGAGCCTGCATGGTCCATGGTGGGGGTGTTTGTTTAGCTTTGTAACAGCTTGATTATCGATGCGTGAGTCACGTAGTCCGAAGGTCTAAAGGGCTTGCAGGTAGAGCAGCCATCTCCGCTGTCTGATCCAGGACATTTCCGTCTCTCCACAAGGGAATCCCGTAGCCATCTCCTCAGATGCACCCCTGCCCAGGGCAAGCACTGTCTGCACTCAGGCTCTCTGTCCCTGGGGATTGGGCTCTTCTGAGCATTTCACATGAATGGAACCACACATAGTATGTGGTCTCCTGCGTTTACTGTTTTGATAGAAAGTGTCAGCGGCACACAGCCCTTCGTTTCCCTGCTGCTTTCCCGGCAGCAGGATGGGGTGGCAGCCCGCGACCAAGCCTTGCACTTCCTGCTGCCCTTCCAGATGGTGCGCGTCCGCAGCTCCTTGCCGTGTGACCGGGTCACCCCGCTGCCTCCTGGCACCCGAACAGACCTGCTGGCCCTCCGTGTTGTTGGCGACCCAGTAGCACCCCCTCCTCTCTGCTCTGTGCTGACCCCGAGGGGTCACCCCGCTGCCTCTTGGCACCCGAACAGACCTGCTGGCCCTCCCGTGTCATTGGCGACCCAGTAGCACCCCCTCCTTTCTGCTCTGTGCTGACCCCAAAGGGCAAGGAGACATCCTTCGCACGTTAGCAGAGAATGCACCTTGCACCCAGAGCCGGGAGTGTCTAATGATGTGGCAGATACTTTGTGTTAATGTTTTATTTCTACAACCGTGCCAGCAGTTTCCATAATTCCCTGTGAGGTGGCAGCTGCCACACTGGCCCTGCATGACTCAGAACCAGGAGACCGGGGCCCATGAGCAGGGAGGGCGGGCACTGCATCAGCGATGGGTTGGAGTGCCTCACGCCCTTAGCTCGTCCATCTTGCCAGGAGCCGCTTTATTTCTTTTGCCACAAGCTCGAAGGGGCCCAGATCTGGGGGTGTGTCTCGTAAGAGTCCATGCCCAGTGCTTAATGATGGACGTACAGCACTGGGAGGGCGTTCTGACTTAGCACTGGGCCATCCTGACATCCCTCCAGCGTTCCCTACGGAAGGCTTGGCTACTTTGGGTTCTTTTCAGAGAGGCCCAGTGTTCAGGGCTCGGGGTCCACAGGCACAGCTGTCCTCAGTGTCCTCGAGCCAGAGCCCCCATCTGGACACGCTCAGCTCCCTCTCACCTGGAATGTCCTTTATGGCCCGTCACCGGTTTCCTGAGTGATTGCTGGCACTGGGGTCTTCCCGTCATCTGATTATCGACATTCTTCTCTCCACAGAGAACACTGCTTCCTCGACCGTCTGAGCACCAGTCCCACAACGTCTGTTCCTTTTCCATCCTGTCCAATTCCTCCGTGACTGGTAAGCACCCGGGCTCCTTGGGTAACTGTTCACGCCTTTCGTGTGCGTGGCCCTGTCTTCGGGAACGGCAGATATTGGTGTCCTCGGGTCTTTGCAGGACGTCCCGAGCATCCCTTTGTCCCTTCTGTCCACAAAGCCTGAGTGTGCTGGGCCCGGGCCACAGAGGGGCAGGCGCGGATGCCTGGTGTGGTGTGGGAGAGGCCCTGGCTCTGGGAAGTACGCTGTCTCACACAGCGGGCACGGCTGAGTGACACGCGCGCCGCGTAGGCACTGTGAGCGTCGACGGCTTCTCATGCTTGCTCTCAGCTGCAGGAAGTCTGGTGGGGGCTGCAGCGGCAGAGTCCTGGTGCAGGATTTGCGGCTCTGCCTGCCACTCAGGTCAGGCGCACCCCCCCCACCAAAAGGCCCCCCATGGTGTGGTGTGAGGACTGCGGCCTTCCAGCAGCTCCGGCAAGCGCGGTGGTGCTGTGTCCCCGGGGGCCGGGACTTTCTCGTCGGGGCCTGTCTGACCTGGGACTTCCCCAAGTCGGCTTCTGACAAGGCTCAGTTCCTGTGACTGTGGCTTGAAAGGAAACGCTCCACGGCCCCTGTTGTGTGTTCGGAGGGTGCGGGCTGATGCATCTGCTTCTGCTCTTTCCCCGCAGGGAGAGGCTCGTTCAGGCCCATCCATTCTTCCCTGACCAAAGCAGCCCTGTCTCGGCCGATTGTGCCCAAGGTCCTTCCACCCCCAGCCACGGGCCACCTGGCCAGTAAGTTTCTGTTACCAGCACGACAGACACCACGGGAGGGTTCCGAGCGAGCTTTCTGTTCGCCTCCAAGCCTGTGTGTCCTGTTACCGTTCAGAGAGAACACGAGAGCCTTTGTCCTTGCTTGGAAATGAGGTGTGAGGCAGAGGCTGTTTCATGAGCCCCTTGGGGCCTGTCAGGGTGTCCCTGGAACTCAGGTTCGAAATGTCCTTCCTGTCGCCAGGTGCTATTGACTTAGCAGCTAAAAGTGCCGGCATCATCCCTGGGAGCCCTCTCCCTGTCTTGGACGCTGAGGGCTTGTCCGGCATCTCTCCGCTGTCTTCAGATGAGGTGACTCCCACCGTCCCAGGTCAGGACTCCACCAGCACCCACCAGAATGGAGATTCCATCCCCGCTGTCAGGGTAAGTATGTTTAACATGGCTTTTCCACATCCCCGCCACCTTCTGGGACAGGTCAGTCACTTTCCAGAGGGGTGGGTGCCGAGGCCGTGGGACTGAGGTCATGCTGGACTCCAGTTCTGCCTGAGGAGGTGATGGGCCCTGAGAGGCTCTAGGAGAGTGCCTGGACCAGGGAGGCTGTGGCGTGGGTGAGCGCCGTGTGGCCCCGAGGGGAGAGCCATGGACGGACGCAGTGGGACAGGCTTGCTGTGATGCTGAGGCAGGCACAGAGCTTTGTCTCCCTGCAGACGTCACTCAGTTCGCGAAGTAGCTTTGGCCGCACCGGCGGGCAGTACGCCCCGTGCCTCCCTGACCCACACACCTCTGACCCCCCCGCCCCCCATGCTTAGGCTCTGCTGGGACTGGGGTTGCTCTTTGAATGGACAGCCGCACTTGTGGGGACTTGGTGACCTAACCTTGACAGCAGTAACCTCCTGGCTCTCTGGCTGCTAGGAGCCTGTAGGCCTGGGGCCCACTGGCTTTCCTCGTGTTGTTGTAGGGCACGAGCGACCCGTTCATCAGTGTCCCCTCGAGGCCTGAGCAGGAGCCAGTGACGGACGGTTTCCAGGTAGAGGGTGCTCTTGGCTGTGGAGCAGTGCAGCTGCCCCGGGACCCCCTCCATGCCAGGCCCCCCACCCTCGTGGTCTTCCCGTGGCCCTAGCCTCGCTCCCTTGGACTGCCAGGTGGTGGCAAGAACACACATCCCTCGAGGCCCCGCAGCGCTGTTCTTCCACCCACCTTGCCTAGACAAACACATAGCTCCCATCTGAGGCTTCCTGCCCCTTCACAAGGCAGCCTGTTTCAGACGCGCTCCTGGAAGGACTGTTTGGGGCCAGAGGGATGGAAGTCGTCGGCCGTAGTGCTCCCGGGCGCTCTTCTGTCCGGATTACCAGCTGTCCCACCGGCCGTGGAGGCAGGGCCAGCCGCCCCCCTCCCCGGCCGCCGCCCCCCTCGGCCTGGGTCCTCCAAGGCTGCCATGACTAGCGTGGCTTCAGGAGAAGTAAATCCACTGAGTGTGTATCTTGCAGAGCAGGGAGACCCCCAGTGGTGCCCCAGTGACCCCACAGGGAGAGGTGGTGTGGTGTTCTCATTTCTCTGTCGAATCGCCTGTCACTCAGTCACTGCCGTGTGGGGCTGAGGCCAATTTTCCATTCCGTGTTCCTGATCATCTGTTGTGTCCCCCCCACCCCCCATCCAGGGCTCACCCGTGCTGTCCTTATCCGAGCTGTCCAAGGCTCCTCTCCACAACGGGCCCCCCGCACCCCTGCCTGTGCCGGAGGGCTCCAGCAGCCGCCTGTCCCCACCCAACGTCTCCGCGCTGCTGGACATCTCCCTGCCCGGGCCGCCCGAGGACGTGCTCTCACAGGGCGAGCCCGCCACACACATCAGCGACTCCATCATTGAGATTGCCATCAGCTCCGGCCAGTACGGTGAGGGCCCGTGGGGTTCTGACTTCCCGCCAGGGTGTCTGCACACTTACTGGGCACCGCCCTGTCCAGCGTTCCCTCTTGAGTGTGGAGCATCTGCCGCCTGTGGGGTGCTGCCCATCCTGGCAGGGGGCAGCCCCAGCAGATGAGGAGCAGATGGGTACTGTGGCTCTTCACAGCCTCGAGGACAGAGAGCAGGCCCGCCAGTCCTCTGCAGCCCACGGCTCAGATGGGGCCTTTTTCTGCTTGGTTCTGAATCTGGGTGGACAGCTTGAGGTCGTGCGGGTCCTGGCAGTGGGGGTGGACTGGGACCTGTGGGGGCTTTGGCCTCACGGGCTCTGTGGGACGGCACTCGCTGGTCTGCTTTGGGCTGTGGATTCACAGAGAACTCAGCGCTCCCCTTCGCACCTTACTTCTGTTGGTGACATGGGGACGTGCGCACTGGTGTGTGCTGGTGTGGTTGGTGTCGGCGCCAGCAAGAGCGTTGGGGGTGCACGGGGTCTGCCGCATCAGCATAGTTGCGGCCACTGCCATTCCCTGAGGTGGGCACATGGCCCCTGCCTCCACAGGCCCCCTCTGCAGGGCAGTCCCGTTTGTCCTCCATGGGCCCGCCACACATATCCAGTGCTTGTGCCACTCTGCTGATTTCTGGGTGCCAGGTGGGGGAAGTGGGGTGCCGTTCACCCACCACGCCATCTCTGATCCTGCGTTTCGGTCGACAGGTGAGGGAGTCTCTCTTTCTCCAGCAAAACTGAATGGCAGTGACAGCTCCAAGAGTCTTCCCTCCCCATCCAGCAGCCCCCAGCCCGATTGGATCGCCTCCCCGACCCATGACCCCCAGTGGTGCCCCAGTGACCCCACAGACTCATCGCTCAGCAGCTTGTTTGGTGAGTGGAGGGCGCAGCAGGGCATGGGCGGGCTCCCCGTGGCGCACCTGGGTGGGGACTGGAGTCTGAAGTCCCAGCAGAGCTGCTGGGTTCAGGGTTTATCCCAAGTCAGTCACACGGTGGGGGAGGGGGGCGCCGAGGCCTCTGGCGTGCACGTCACTGAGCTTGTGTGAACATGGACACCCACGTGACACTCAGCCCGGGCTGAGATGGGCCCATGTCCGCACTCAGTCTCCCGTGCCCTTCTCCGGGCTGCCCGCTCTCCGGCTCCTGCCTGCTCGGGCTTTCTGCTCTTGCCATTGGCGGTGGGGTAGAAGACGGCTCTTCGAGCTCTCAGCTCCCTCTTCCCATCCTCAGTCTGGTGTCTTGAAGCAGATGTTCCCACTGTCTCATGGCGTGGACGGGCGCCCCTCCCCAGGCACCAGGTGTTCATGTGGTGGGAGGGCTGCCAGGGACAGCCACACCGGCCTCAGTGGCCTGTGCGGGGCGAGCTCCTGTGGCACGTGTGGGATCAGCGCACCCAGCATTCTTTAGAGGGTAGCCGGGGTGCGTGTGTGGTGGCGGATGCTGGCAGCCCTAAAAAGGGGTGGTTTTACACATGAGCCTGGTTGGCACCCATGTGGGCACCACACCTGGAGACCCAGATTGATGCGGGAGGTCTGGGTGGTGCCAGGGAGGCAGCACCGACGAGGGTTTGCTGAGATGGAAGTCACATAGAACAGTGCAGGTGTCTGCAAAGTCAAATAGAAATTATGAGAAATCGGAACCACCTCATACGGAGGCGAGGGTGGTGACCCGGCAGTGGGATGAGGCAGGGCTCCCGGGAGTACGAAGCCGACTCACACGTGCTGCACGGAAAACTCCCCGGGGCTCTCCATGTGAGAGAGGCGAGGGACCACACAACAACTCCATCCAAAGCCCTGTGGCTGCATGAGCGTACGGGTAGATGCCTGGAAGGGGCCTGGCAGGGCCATCCATACGCAGCCTGCGGGGTCCTCCACTTGGACTGGACTAGGCAAGCCGGTTTCAGGATGTCTTCTCCTCCTTTTGGCAGCAAGCTTCATCTCCCCAGAGAAGAGCCGGAAGATGCTGCCAACTCCTGCAGGGACCCACAGCGGCACCTCCCTGCTGGGCCCCAGCTTGCTGGATGGGAACTCGAGAGACTCGTTTGTGTCCCGGTCCCTGGCTGATGTTGCTGAGGTAGGCGCGCGGCCTTAGCTCCGACTTGACCAGCAGCCCGCCTTCTGGAGGTGGCCGGATGCCTCGGGTGGGACCCTCGTGTTCTTAGGACTCGGAGTTCTCCTGACCAGGGAAGCTCTGGCCGCCCTGGGCCAGAATTCTTTCCCGCGTGGCGGCAGATGAGGGACGTGAGGTAACAGCTCCGCGCTGGAGGCCTCGGAACCTGGGAAGCCCTGGAGTCGGGTGGACTGCGGGGCCTATGCTGGTGGCCAGCACAGGCCTTGGGTCTCTTCTCCCCTTCAGCAGCTGCGTGACCTGGGGCAGGTAGTGCCTCGGTTTCCTGGTCTGTCCAGGGCTGCTGCTGATTTTCGAGGAGGACGTGGCCATTGTGGGTGGTACGTTCTCCGTGCTGCCGCCTGACGGGCAGGGAGGCCTTCCAGCCGCATCTCCCTATGTGGTGGCATGAGGCTGCCGCCCGCTGAGCTAAAAAGTGGCTCGGGGTGGTGGCGGACTGTTGATGTGGAGGCGAGACTCGGTCTGTGATGCCCCTCGCTGTTTGTCCACTCGGAGCCTCCCAGGCCTCCACCCCACGAGGAGCAAGTGTGTTGGGGAGCAAGTAGGACTCGCGAGGACAGGGGCACAGAGCGCAGCGCTCTGAGAGAGACGGAGGTGGAGCATGTGCGTAAGAGGGAAAGGATTCTCCATAGAGAACCCCACCCCCTCGGGTGGGCCTAGTTCTGTTGTCAGAGGCTTGGAGCAGCATCCCGCAAATACTGCTTCCCTGGGACGTGCTAGTGTTGGTGGGTCTCTCTCAGATTTCGTAGTCAGATTCCCCACGGGGCCCTGGATCAAACAGAGCTCACCGCTGTTTCCCACGGACATCTCAGCTTCTCCTTATCCTGACTGGCATCTCATGGGGAGGCTTTGGAGAATTCTGAGCTGAGCGGTGACGTGACTAGAAATTCTACCGAAATAGAGACACAGACCAAGAAGCAGCAGCATACGCCCTCCTTGCACGCTGCAACGTTTCTCAGACCACTCGTGGCTCTGATGTCACACAAGAAGCCCATCTTTCCTCTTCGTGCATGTGGGTGGGTGTGTATGCTTACAAACCCTCGGCTTCTATGCAGATGGGCCTGCCACACATACCTGGAGACAGCTCCTCAGGACCCTGCCGTTCTGGGCAGTCTCCAGGGCAACAGAAGCAGTACCTGGGGCTGTTACAAGTGCAGACTCGTGGGCCCACCCCAGGTCCACCCCATACCCACCCCAGGTCCACCCCAGGCTCACCCCAGATTCACCCCGGCCCACTCCAGGTTCACCCCATGCCCACACCAGGTCCACCCCAGGCTCACCCCAGATTCACCCGTTTCACCCAGACCCACCCCAGGTCTACCCCAGGTTCACCCCATGCCCACACCAGGTCCACCCCAGGCTCACCCCAGATTCACCCGTTTCACCCAGGCCCACCCCAGGTCTACCCCAGGCTCACCCCAGGTTCATCCCATGCCCACACCAGGTCCATCCCAGGCCCACACCAGGTCCATCCCAGGCCCACACCAGGTCCATCCCAGGCCCACACCAGGTCCATCCCAGGCCCACCCCAGATTCACCCGTTTCCCCCAGGCCCACCCCAGGTCCACCCCAGGCCCACCTGATGGGGTTTGAACAGAGTGGGCATGTGGGGTGGGTGGGAAAGGTGGGGCCAGATCGGCCCACACTGATAGTGATGGAAGCTGATGATGGGCCTGTATGGGGAAGACAGGCACTAGTCACTCTGCTTTTTGAAAACAAATTTTAGTTTAAAATTTTCCATAGAAAGCTTAAAGTTTGTTTATTAAAGTAATCTCTACCCCCAGTGTGGGACCCGAACTCATGACCCCCAGATCATAAGTTGCACACTCATCCGACTGAGCCAGCCAGGTGCCCCTGTCATGAAAGTTTAAAATCCACTTCGTGCCATAGCTCTACTCAGAATTTTCTGAAGGCTTCTCATTTGTTTGTCGTGTCCTGCAATTCTGTAACAAATACTTATCCAGGGCATACTCTGTGCCGGGCACTGCTCTAGGCACAAGTGAACAAAACCACGGCCCCATCCTCGTGAGCCTTCTGCTTGAGCAAAAGAGGCAGACGGTACACCCTGAAGACAGACTTTCGTGTATCTGTCCACAGAATAACCTAGCTCCTGACGCTCTGTTGTACACACTCTGGTCTTTATCCTTGCTTTCCTTTCTTGGCCTGACTTGTCTCATCTGCCAGTTTTGTTTCTTGAAGAGCCGAAGCCCGTTCTCATCTCAGGGTCTTTGCACTTGCTGTTTTATGGGTATGTGCTCCCTGGCCCTGGGGCAAACCCCACCTGCTTCCTCAGCTCCCATGTCCTTCAGGCCACCCCGCAGTCTCTGCACCCCACTTGTGTGTCCTTTGCCTCATTGCTTATTGAGGGTCCACAGTCTGTGCTGGGCACCACCACTCTGGCCTGGCGGCCCATGGCGCCAGTCCCCTGGTCAGCTCTCATGCACACTTATCAAAAGAGGGAGTGTTCAAAAGGACAGAGGAGATTCTGCAGTTCTCCCGAGAGTGCTGGGCCGGTGTCACATGGCTCATTGATCGGGTTCTAGTCTTCACTGGTCCACTCACCTCCCACTGAAGTCCCTGCTGTGGTGGCCAGCCACCCGCTGACGTCGCCTTCCCTCGTGTCCTCTGCCCTGCAGGTTGTGGATTCCCAGCTGGTGTGCATGATGAATGAAAACAGCATTGATTACATATCTCGATTCAACGATTTGGCCCAAGAACTGTCCATCGCTGAGCCTGGCCGCCGAGAGGTTCTGTTTGATGGCAGTGGAGGTGGCCCCCCCGTCGGTGACCTGTCCCAGTGACCAGACCTCGCCCCTGCTGGGGCATCCTGGAGGCTGCAGAGGAGGGCTGGTGGTCCTCCACTGCGGTATGTGTAGCCCTCTCCAGGCTAGAGAAAACAGAAATCCAGCCCAGGACCCCCCAGAAGACGGTCTGAGCAGAGGACTCTCTGTGCCCCAGAACAGACAACGTGCAGGAAGCTGCGTCCCGATGGGCAGAGGGCCACGGTGGCCCGGGAGGTGAGGACAGGTTCTGTCAGAGGGCCCGTGTCAGACACTGCTGTGGCATCAGAGCCACTCCCTGCCAGCCGTGGGATAGTGCTTGCCGGCCGCACTTCCACCCCCGTCACCGTGTTGGACGTTGCAGTGGGTTTTCTTTCCGAGGGAAAGGAGTGGGTGTGCGGCAGCCAAGGCCCAGGGAGTCCCAGCCTCCCTGCTCTCTGCAGGGACACTTTCAGCCACCACTGCTTTTTTCTGCCAAACCTATGCACCTTTCGGTTGCTCTCTCTGCACATGACGGGGAAGGACAGCTGGGCATGGCCTGGGCTCTGCCTGGTAGGGTCTGCACCCTTAGCGGACACTTGCGAGGACGCGCGGATCACAGGGCAGCGTCCCTGGTGCCATCACCCCAGAAACACTGACCTCGCCTAGTGCGTTCTCCCACCTGGAGGTTTATTCTGACTGACTTAACGGGAAGGAGGAGAGAATCCTGTTTTGTGCAGCTTGTGTGGACTTTCAGAAAAAAACCCTGCTGAAGTGGTTGGAAAAAGGTTTTCCTTATGTTTTGAGAATTAGGAGACGGTGAAGAAGAAGAGAGTTCATGGTTTCCTTCCTGTGTTGAAGCCAAGCCTTCGGCTTCGAGTCCCTGAACCGCCAGGGGGCTGCTGGCTAGCCGCTGACGTGCGCTGCCTTTCCAGGGAAGGTCTTCGCCTCTTCAGCGTCTCCTCTTCATTCCACGGGCTTCCCTGCAGAGTCCACCTGCTGCATACATTTCCTCCTTCGTGTTTCCTCCCATCCCGTGGTCCTCTGTTTCTCTTCTTCCAGCGCAGGGAACGCGAGCAAGGCGCAGACCCTGGGTGCAGTCAGAGCACGCTAAAACCACTTCCCTCTCATGTACTCCTCAGGCCCCCTTGGGTGACCGTTGGTCATCACTGCCGACGGGTCGGTGCCCAGAATGGAGCTGACAGGGCTGCTTTGTTCTCAGCCTTCGGAGGCTCAACAGACAAAAGCCCATCCAGCCCCCCATCCATTGTGGCCAGCATCCAGTGCTATGGTGTTGGTCAGGTAGTAACCTGTGCACCACCATCCCACCTACTGCTTCGCTCTCCACCTGCAGTCCAGACCAGCTTGGCTTCTGAAACCACCTGAACGGAGGACAGTTTCTCTTTCCTCTTCCCGACTGGCAGTGGAGTGGCAGCCGCCCAGGCCAGTCCCAGCCCTCTGCACGGGCTTCTCTCCCTGTCCATGATGAAGAGGTGAGGCAGCATGGAAAAGAACAGAAAAGGTCTTTCATGTGTGCAAGCAGAGGGGATGCTCCTGGTCCCAAGGTCTCAGCAGCCAGCTGCAGCCCCTCCAGGCTGTAGGCTGCGTCATTCACCCCGGCCACGGAGGAAAGAGAGGGCAGTGGGGCCTCCAGACAGAGGAGGTTCCTTCCTTCATCTCCAGTGTTTCAGAGCTCTTGCCTGTAACATGGTTTCCTTCTTTCAGGTCTGGTTCTAGGTACAAACATCACTAATAAGACCCACCATGGGCAGCTCTTCTGGGCTCTTAAAAAAAAGTCCCAAAGTTCTGGAGATGTGTAAGAGAGCGACATGGTGTCCCTTTATTAAAGAGAGCATCGTTTGAACCAGAGTATCTTTAAACTAACTTGTATGGTTTAGCGATCTATCAGCTTCCTGAACTTAGCACCTTCTGGAAGTGATATCAGTGGATCTCTCTGGGCATCTGACTTTGTTAGGTCTGTGGTAGGTGAGGACACCAGGCCAAGTGTAGGCCACTACTAACTTGCTCGTACCCCCGCTGTGGGGGACCAGAGACCCCCGGTACCATTACAGCATCGATGCTAGGGGCAGTACTTGATGGCAGTGTGTGCGTTGCTGGAGACTGTAGGAGTCCTGAGCCGCTTTCATCAGGGGATACCCGAGGCAGTCTAGCGGGTAGGCTGGCACCAGTTTTCAGTGATACCTAAAAGGAGGAAAACTAGAGACTTGGGATCAGCTTTGGTAGGCTCTTCAGTGGCATCATCCACTAGGGGCTTAACCACAGACTCCATCTGGAGTGTCATCCGGGGAAGGGTGGGTTAGGGAGGACAGTGGACTGATTCTTCTCACCTGTAGCAAAGCTGACACGATTCCAGAGAATTCTGCCACTTCTGCAGCAACCTGACAGGTGTAAGCATTTGCTTGCCGTGTTAAGGGAAAGTGACATCATTAGTAGCAAAGGGTGAGTCTTTTTTCTTCCAGCCTAAATGAATATATATGTATAAAAATAAGCAGCTGTTAAAGGCTAGAATTTTCCAAAAGATGCAAGCAGAGAAACTCCCCTCTTCCTGTATCTTGCTCTGCCTGTGCCACGGGAGTCGTAGTCTTGGTGTACACCTGTGACTTTCTTCGTGCATTTGAGCATGCTGTGATTAAGACCACATCCGTTCCTCAGAAAAATCCTTCCCTAGTCACTCTAATGATGTCTGGGATCTTTTTGCTGATTCAGCTTTTGTAAAGCTAGACTATCTCTGGTCTCCAGGGAGTTGTTTTGGCAGGTGATGAGCTTAGAAGATGCAGCTTGTGACTCCAGTAAGATCGGCGAGGACGTCGCCCTCACCTCTCTGTATCTGCTAGGTGTAGAGTACTTGCTCAGGGAGTGGGGTATTTGGAAATAAAGGCAAGCTTTCCCATGTCTCCAGCGGCTTAGCATTGGGATCCTGAAAAGGGCGTCCTTTTCAGTGGAATAGCATCTTTTAACTAGATCACAGCAAGGAATCCAAACTTAAGCCAAGAAAAGTCATGGAATAAAAGACACTGGAAGCAAGTAGAGGAGGAAAGCAGCAGTTGCTGGTTTTTTGTTTTTAAAGACCTTGAGATCTATCAGATGCATTTGAGAGAAAATAGGGCACTTTGTCTTAAGAAAAAAAGGAAGAAACCCACAGCGAACCTGTCCTGTGATTGGTGACTCACGAGAAGCTGTGTTCGAGGCACTACAGCAACCTGGACCCTGTGTTGTGTAGCGGGACAGCGGCTTAGATCTTGCGGTCTGGGCGGCAGAACTCACCGCGGTTTCCTTTAATAATCGTTAAGCCATATCATCTGAGGTTTTCGGCTTGTTTGAGATGTGAATTTGTTTTATAGATTATAAATATACATATACAGTGTATGTATAAAGCAGAATGCCTGTCCTTCCTGATTATTTTTTGTACCATATTGTAAATTATATTATTTATTCTTTACCAATTTTGGGAATAAAAGGTGTTTTGGTTATTTAATATAATAAACAAAAGCTGTTAAACTTCTTATGTTTAAATTTCCAGTTCAACTTGTAAATGTTTTTATTGTGCATAAATACATACTAATACTTGATCTAATACTTCTCGAGTGAGCCTTGTTTGCTTCGCGGCGAGCTCGGCGGTGGCGGCTCGGCGCCAGGCCTCGGGTTTGCGCCGCCGCCCACAGACCCGGGCGCCTCCCGGGAGAGCAGCGGCCACCGGCGATCCCCCGGGTTGTACTCGCGGCAGTCGGGAGGCGCTCTGGAGTGCGCGGCTTGCGCGTGCGCGGGGGGGGGGTCCGCTCGGGGCAGGGCCCGCCCCCCTGCAGCCCTGCTGCCCAGTGTCGGCGCCCAAGGCCTGAGCGGCATCAGCTCTCACCAATCGGCTGCGAGCGCGGCACGAGTCTTGCCGAACCTCTGCCCCGGTGGGGCGGGGGCACGGCCCGGCGCTGCGATAGGCTGCGGCGGCGTGACTGGCGTCGACGATGTCCAAGGGACGCGGGTGGGCGGGCCTAGCGCTGCGTGGGGGCGGGCGGAAACCTCGGTGCGGCTGGCGAGGAGGCGCCTGGCGGCGGGCGACATGTTCCAGGCCCCGGAGACCGACGGCGCCCGGGCGGGCTCCAGGTGCGTGGGGGGCGCGGCCACATGGCGGGCGCGGGTGCCTGGTGATCTCACAGAGCCGCGGCCTCCTCGTCCCCGTCCGAGAGGCGGGCGCTCGGGCCGGACGCGCTCCCCGCGCCGAGCAGGGTCTGGGCGGGAGGCCTGAGGCGCGCCGTCCGCGCTGCTCCTCCTGGGGCCACGTTCTCCTCCGTGTCCAGCGCGCCTGGAGACGCTGGCCGAACGGTGTGCGGGGCCGCTGCCGGGAGCCCGGGACCATGCGGGTGTGTGGGGATGGGCCCGCGGGGTGGGGGTCACCGTCTTGGGCTCCTTCCCGGGTCCCCGTGGGGCCGGGCGCCGCGCTCCCCTAATGCCGGGGTCCCGTGGGGCCGAGCGCCGCGCTCCCCTAATGCCGGGGTCCCGTGGGGCCGGGCGCCGCGCGCCCCTAATGCCGGGGTCCCCCGGGCGCCGCGCTCCCCTAAAGCCGGGGTACCCTGGGGCCAAGTGCTGTCCTACCCTGATCCTATAGTTTGGGAGCCAGGCCGTATCCTCCCTGCCTTGCTGATGGAGAACCAAGCTGACTGCCAGTAATAGAAGCAGAAATCCAATTGTAGGTCTCCAAACTGTAGGAGCCACCTTACCTTGTAGATTTCAGGGGTTTTAGATGCCCATGAGTTTTCATTACTGTAATACTCTCCTGTCCCCCAGCCTTGCCCTAAAAGTAGAAGAGAATATGTATTTGACACCTGTTGAGGTAAATACCACGTCCAGTAGGTAATAAGTGAAAGAAGTGCTTTGACTTGCTGAAAACTCTGTTAAGTCTGGGGGAGTCAGGTCAGTGTTCAGTAATACACCTAACTAATTAGTCATCAGACCACAGAACAATGACTAGCAGTCACACACGTCTACATGTGCACTAATGGGAGCCAGAGGTTTATCCCAGAGTGTTCCGTAAGTACTGTGGACTATTGCCCACACCAGCTGGGCAGGAGCCGCTTCCCAGCTCTCTTCCTCTTGTCCTCTGGGTTCACCCCATTCACCACCGGAGGCCCAGTGAACGAGGCCGTTTATGAATAAACACCCTGACGCTGGTGTTGTACTGACTCTTGGAGCTGCAGAGCTGTTGGGCTAAAGGAATACTCCACACTTCTTTGGGGGACTCGTGTTGGAGAGGGTATTAGGAAAAGGAGAAAATTTTTCCTTTTAGGACATTGAAGAAGAAAAGCATTCTTCTCGGCTGGATGATTACATGTAATTGGAAGCTTTTGCTTGGAATCAGTCAGATGTTTTGTGTTTCCGCAGCCATCTTAAAGGGATTGATTAGCTGGACAGGCCTTGTAGGGCCTCACATCTTATTTGGCTGTTGAGGGAGGGAGTGTGGTCGTGGCTGTAAGACTGCCCAGCTGGGATGTCCTCTTTTAAGGCCCTACATCTTCTGTTTTCTTGCTGAGGGATTATCTTATGTTAAAGGGACTCTGAACTGTCCAAGCGTCATGCCTGAGCCATCCCTGATCTGAGGTCCTCCCTTTCAGCTGTAAAATGTACACCTGTAAAGGATTTATCCAAGTCTCCCTTTTATTACTGCTTCTCTCCAAGTCTGCCCAGTCCACAGGCTTTTCTGAAACACAGACACCAGCTCTCCGAAGGAGGCTCAGGACCTGGAGGTGAGAGTGGTTTTTGTTTCCCTGCCTCAGCTGGTGCTGTTGTCCCCTCGCGTTGTATCTGTGGCTCTTCTTTGTCACCAGCCCTCTGGTTCCTCTTGTGTACTTCAGTGTCTTCATTAGACTATTGTGAGGGGTAGACGAGAACAAGGTCATTGTAATTGGAATGTTCCCCACGTTGTCAGCTCTGAGCTCACTCGTATTCCCATCTTCTCTCTAATTTGTGTCCTAGAGGTAACTGCCCTTGCTGGTGAGCCTGGTGAAGGCCACACTGAGCATTGTTGTGGGTTCTGTTTTTATCAAAAGAACCTCTTCCACTCTCAGTTCCCTTATTTGAGACCTTGCTGGGGCAGCCTGTGTGATTTGCATGACTGCTACAAGGCTGGGAGACCCTAGCATCCACCCTGTTGCCTTCGGGATGAAGGTGTCGCTGTCCCTTCTCAGGTAGCTTGGCCACTATGCACAGCATTCTTGGCTGTCATTTCTTTTCCCTTGTTTTCAAAGTAAAATAAAGTAAAATTAAGAAAAGTACACAGAATAATGTAATAAACACTGTATTTCCACCACCCAAAATTAACATTTGGTCATTTCAAACAACTCTGGCTATGTCCTTTGCCCTGAGGATACGCTTCCCACACAGAGACCGCAGACTCAATTTGGACTTTGGCTCCTCCAGAGAGATCTTTGGGGTTCCAGCAAGACCCAGCGCCCATGGCGTTACTGATGGGAACACTAGAGGCCCCTGCACCTGCAGCGCTGGCTTTCCTGGCTGAATAAAGCTTCTCCAGACTCAGGACTTACTGTCACCCACCTTTCTGTGCACGGGGTCTGGCGCCGGCTTCCGGCGACAGGTGCTCAGGGGCCGTGTGGATGGGTTAAGCCAGGGCGCAGGGCAAAGGGGACCGGGAGATTGCAGGGATGCAGAGTGAGTCCTAAGAGCTTGAATCCAGAAGAGTCTGCTTCAGATTGGAGCAGGACCTGGGGGTTTGAAAGCAGAGCTGTGTTTCAAATAAGTCTGTAAAATAAATTTTTAATTCAGCAGGAAACTTGATGTTAAATTCAGTTCAGTTCTGAAGATTGCAGATCCCCACCCCACTTTCCAAAGCATGTTGGACCTGCTGTAGCCAGCCAGGAATACAGAAAATGTCACTTGTGACCGGGGCTATGTGACCTGAGGACTTGTTAACATCTTTCTAAGTTGTGGTTATTAGGGGTTTGTTTTGTTTTTAATTTTTTTCTCAAACTGAAGTAATTTTTTTCCTTCACCAAATCATTAAGGAACTACTAACTATTGAGTAGGCATCCACCCTCCTGTTCCTCCCAGGCGGCCAGGGACTCGGCACTGTGTGGGAGCCTGCCCAAGGGGTCTGCCCGCCCTCATTAAAGCGGAGGGGTGCTTTCTGCAGTCCTCCTTGCAGCTGGAGAGTCTGAGAACTCACTTCGCTTTAAATTGCAATGAATGATCAGCTCCCTCTCTCGTTCTTTTAAGGAAGCAAACAACATTTCAGATGTCCTGCTCTTGTGAGCGACGTTGTGGGCTGTGTTTGTGGAGTGCGGTGGCTTTTGGGTGGCGCGGAGCTCCACATTTCCATCTCTTTCTCCGGGTCTGCAATCACAGCCAGCCCTGTCGCTGAGGACTTGGGAAGGAGCCTGGGCCCCTCGCCGGTTTAGAACTGTTTCAGTAGGGCCCTCTCACCTTTAAAATACATCTTTAAAATCTCTGTGGGTGTTCTGAAAAGATGCACATGACTTCAGCATGTGACTGCTCTGCTGGAGTAGTCTGAAGCCCTGGGGCGGGGGGGGGGGGGTCAGGGCAAAGCTTTGTGAACATTTAATACTTCGGTTATTGCCATAAAAAGTGACTCAGCGTCCTGGTGTTCCACATCTGAAATGTTTCCTATAAACCTCCAGATGGTTCACGGCCGTTTCCCCCCAGTCGAGACTTGGGGTGGATGCTGCTGTTGGTGGCTGAGTGGGCGCGTGTTGGGGTGGCGGACAGGACCCCTGGTGTACATGTGTTGGTGTGAACAGTGGTGCCAGCAGGTGTGCCCTCTGATCTTTCTGATGAGAATCCGTTGGTTACGGGCCTTGAGGACTGGAGGTGGTTATCCTAGGGTGGATTCCGCACATTGATCCTGACCCTGAGAGCGTAGTCTGAACTCTGGACCCAGACTGCCGGGATTTGTGTTCTGGTTCTGCTACTTCCCACATGACCTTTTTTATGATTCTCCTCTGTCTCAGATTCATTGTCTGTGAAAATAAGGCCTGCCTGAGAGGGCTGCTGTGTAAGGTCCTTGGAACAGTAAATGCAGATAGTAAGCACTTAGCAAATGTAAGCTACGGTATTAAACAATCCTGGATATGTTTACGGTATTGTTTTAATTTTTTTTAATACATTTTTTTTTTTTAAAGATTTTATTTATTTATTTGAGA